TTTGTGTTCTTGTTTTTTATTAAAACAAAAGGCATCGAAAAAATATAGTTTGTGCTTTCAGCAATACTAAGACGGTATTTGTACTGGAAATAAGCACCCCCGTAATACCACGTATAGACAGCGAAATAGAAAAGTGAGGAAAGGAAACAGAATTTCAATTCGTGAACGTAGGGACACTCATAAGCTTCATGGATTTTATAAAAAACAAGAACACAAAAACAATTGACTATGCGAAGAAACATCATGGCATATACTGCAGCCTGGTCTTTATATTTGCTCAGAATTGGAATGCTTAGCAAAGTAACTAAGTACATACAAATGGACCTGATCCGATAATAACGAGCCAATATATATCCACAAGACGCAGTTTCAACAATCCAAAAGTACTTTTCATAATGACACATCAAGCGAGGCATGTTAATAAGACCCGGCTTCGAGAAACCGTTTGCATGCGACTGCTCTATTTCTTTTGATCGCTTTGTATACAGGTCATCTATAGTCTGGAAATAGCTTGTCAAGATTGACATCACATTATCAAGAAAAAAACCAACATACAGACGGCTCAAAATGCTTTTCACTACGTCTGGCAAACATGCAATGGCATCCCAAAATTTGGAAAGCGTAAGGCCGCGTTTGTTATCTACACTTTCTTCTTCGGGATTTTGGGAATGTGCCAGTGTTTCATTTCGAAGACCTACAGAAGAGTGGGCAAGAGTTTTATTTTGCGAAATTGAAGTCAAGTTTGTATGCCCTTCGTCGCACCAAATAAGGTTGCTTTTGGAAAGGACATAAAGAAAAACGAGAGCCACGAGAAAGAGAATCTTTAGGGTGTTCATCGATGCAAACAGTGTGTTGAAAAAAAAAGCGTTTTATGCACATCTTTGCACCGTGAATCAACTAAATTACATGGAGGTCGGTGTGCCAAATCAGGCATAAAAAGGCACAGGCACAGGAACATGCACAGCCACAGTAACAGGCTACTGCCTGGCGTAAGGGGTTCGCTCAATGGCATTTATTCTTTGCAAAGGAGTTCCATTGGCGCCGTTGTCGCTTCTTCATGCACGCTGCTGCCGTGTATCCGTGATCTGCTTGCAGTCGAAACCGATGCACTGCAATGTGCACCGGCCCCACCAGCGCTCGGACTCAACCCACCATATCAATGGCCAGCTCGTCGTTGGGTGCTGGATTTCTTGCTTTCGGCAGAGCACCGTTGTGTGTATCTGGCGCGTGTTTTGCCAAAGGCTTTGTGCATTTGCAATGCACGGCAAGCATGCAGTGCAACCAAGCACACCGAGATCACACGCAGACCGGCTGCTCTGGGCACATCTCAACATCACTCTGCATCGCCAGGGCAAGGGCAAGTCCTGCTGCAACCACACGGGGAGGCTGCGCATGCGCGACATTCCCTCGCATCGATA